ATGTCCCAGCTGGAGGAGCTGAGCTGGGGCATGGATTTCATCCTTCAATGGAAAAATGGAAAAAATTTTCCATTTGAGAATGGATCCCTCAGTGGATCAATGGAAAAACCTCCTGAGCTTGGGCAGGGATTGCTCCATCTCTGATCATCCGTGGGAGGACAGAGCACTGCTCCCATCCATCCATCCACTGCGATCTGATCCCGTATCCTGGGGCAGGAGGATCCCTGTCCTTGCCCAGGGACCCAGCCACGGCTGCTGCTGCCACGTGCCACGCTCCTGGTGCCCTCGGCAGGGCCACCAGCGTGGCAGCAGGGCCGCCAGCCTGGCAGCAGTGCTACCAGCGTGGCAGCAAGGCCACCAGCGTGGCAGCAAAGCCACCAGCGTGGCAGCAAGGCCACCAGCGTGGCAGCAAGGCCACCAGCATGGCAGCAGGGCCACCAGCATGGCAGCAAGGCCACCAGCATGGCAGCAGGGCCACCAGCATGGCAGCAGGGCCACCCACGGCGTGGCTCAAGTTGTCACTTGCGGCATCTCCAGCTCATTAATTTTTCCTCGTCGCTTTTCGAGCCCTTTTGCGTCTCTGAGGTTAAACCCAGCGGGTCCCCAGGCTGGGCTGGGCACAGGGGACACTGGGCTGGTGGCCCTGGCTGTGGGCACTGGCCCTGGCAGGACAGAGGTGCCGTGCTGCCGTTTATTATTCCGGGCAGGTTCAGCTGCAGCACCGCGTCGGCTCCGCCGCTCCTCGCCAGCTCCTCCTGCCTGGAGCCTGCTCCTTCCTCCCCTCACAGCCCCGGGGATCCAGGGATGGAGCCCCAACTCCTCAGGGATGGCAGCTGGGAGGTGGCACAGGTGGCGCCAGCACAGGGGACTCATTTCCCCGCTCCTGTCCCACCTGGGGTGTTTGCTTCCCTCAGGGAGAGCTGGTTCCTCTCCAGGAATTCATGCCAGGAGTGAAGGGCAGAACCTGCTGGAGTCACTGGGATCCGGGTGGATCCTTCCCAGCTTGGCCAGGGAGCCTGTGCTGGTGGCGTGGGGCAGGGATGGGAATGGGGCTGTGATCCCAAAAGGGCTGGGGGAGGATGCTGAGAGCGGGCAGGAGCCATCCCACATCTCAGTCCCAGGCTGGAACCTCACTGTGGGACACAGGGATGGTGCTGATCCCTCCTTTCCCCCAGGACAGAGAGAATTCCAGGCTGGAATCTCAGTGTGGGACACGGGGATGGTGCTGATCCCTCCTTTCCCCCAGGACAGGCCAATTTCCAGGCTGGAATCTCATGATGGGACACAGGGATGGTGCTGGGTCCCTCCTTTCCCCCAGGACAGGCCAATTTCCAGGCTGGAATCTCACTGTGGGACACAGGGATGGTGCTGGGTCCCTCCTTTCCCCCAGGACAGGCCAATTTCCAGGCTGGAATGTCACTGTGGGATGAGTGCTGATCGCTACCCCTGAGCTCCATCAGGGGTAATTAAGGGCTAGGCCGTTACAGTATTAATTAACTGTCTCCCTCTTAACCTCTGAGCTCTCCTCAGACAGCGCCGGTTGCTATGAAAGAGGAGGAAATGAGCGTGGTGGGGTGGGGGAATTATCGTTTTTTCTCTTAATCAGCAGGAGCCTGCTTAATTGGGCCTGCCACCTCCTGCTTCCCGCTTGCCGGGAGCTGCTGCCGTGCAGGGATGGATGAGCTCAGCTCTCCTCGTGGGATAACGGGGCTGGGAACGGGCAGGGATGTGGGAACATCCCAGGGATCCCTGCTGGATGGGGCAGCAGCAACGCTCCGGCCCGAGGGTGGGACTGCAGTGTCCCCATCCCTGTGTCCCATCCCTGTCCTCCCAATTCCTCTGGTCCCATTCCACTGTCCCCATCCCTGTGTCCCATTCCACTGTCCTTATCCCTGTATCCCATCCCTGTGTCCTCATTTCAGTGTCTCCATCCCTGTCCCCCATTCCACTGTCCCCATCCCTGTGTCCCCATCCCTGTCCTCCCATCCCTGTGCTCCCTATCCCTCTGCTCCCGTCCCAGTGTCCCCCATTCCTATTCTCCCAATCCCTCTGCTCCCATTCCACTGTCCCTATCCCTCTATCCCATCCCTGTGTCCTCATTTCAGTGTCCCCACCCCAGTGTCCCCATCCCTCTGCTCCCACCCCAGTGTCCCCACCCTAGTGTCCCATCCCTGTGTCCTCATTACAGTGTCCCTACCCCAGTGTCCCCATCCCTGTGTCCCATCCCAGTGTCCCCACCCCTGCAGCTGGGGCGCAGGTCCCTGCCGAGGTGGGGACATTGTGAGGGTGTCACTGCTGTCCCTGAGGTTCAGTTGGTGCCTGTGGTGTCCTGATAGTGCCGGGAGTGCCCTGGGGGTGCTGCGGGCACGATAAGGAGCTGCCCCCAGGGAGGGCTCTGTGGGGTTTGGTTCTTTGGGGTTGTGCTGCCCCAGAGATTGGAAAGGCCCCGTGGCTGGGGCTGGAATTGGGGCAGTTTGGGGACAGTTCTGGGGCTGGAATTGGGGCAGTTTGGGGACAGTTCTGGGGCTGGATTTGGGATAGTTGGGGGACATTCCTGGTGCTGGAATTGGGGTGGTTTGGGACAGTTCTGGGGTTGGTTTCAGGGCAGTTGGGGACAGTCCTGGGACTGGAATTGGGGCAGTTTTGGGACAGTTCTGGGGCTGGAATTGGTGTAGTTTTGGGACAGCCCTGGTGTTGGAATTGGGGAAGTTTGTGGAGAGTTCTGGGGCTGGAATTGAGGAAGTTTGGGGACAGCTCTGGGGCTGGTTTGGGGGCAGTGTGGGACAGTTCTGGATTTGGTTTCAGGGTGGTTTGGGACAGCCCAGGGACTGGAATCAGAGTGGTATGGGACAGTTCTGGGGCTGGAATTGGGGCAGTTTTGGGACAGTTCTGGGGCTGGAATTGGGGCAGTTTTGGGACAGTTCTGGGGCTGGAATTGGGGCAGTTTGGGGACAGCCCTGTGCTGATTTGGTGCCTCTCTGTGGGGTTTCTGAGGGTTGGTGCATCCCATGTGCTCCTGGGATCAGCACTGGACATTGTCCCTCGTCCCTGTCCCTCCCCAGCCTGCTCTGCCACCCCTGGGCCCCGTCTCAGACAGAGTGGCCGTTCCCCCGTTGTTCTTTATTTATTTTGCCCTCGGGAAGATTTTATTTTCTCTCCATGAGAGCCTCCCCTCGCAGCTTTTTTGCCTCTGGAGTGCCAGGAGCTTCCCTGGAGCCTGGGAGCACAGCTAACCCTGCCTGACAAAAAACCCTTTTTCCCTCTGGCCTGTGCTGTTCCCTCCATGTCCCTATTTGTCCCTAGAACTCTGAAATGCCAGCAGGCCATCCCAGCCCCCAAATCCCTGAGGAATGAGGGAGCTGTGGGATGCTCGTGGTCCCTGCCTGGCTCGGTTGAAGCGTTTTTGGGGCTCCCCTGTCCTTAATGAGGGGCTGTGACCTGGGTGGCAGCACTTGGGGACACTGGGTGCCCTCAGGGAGCCACCTTTGCACAGGTAATTGATGGAAAAGTCTCGATTCTGAGAAATTCCGAGGTTTTGGTGGCTTCTCTTTTGTGGTTCCTGTGGCATCTCCCAGCTGGTGTAGAGCCCACGGGGTGCTGCAGCCCCTTTCCCATGGATATTGGGGTATTGGGGTATTGGGGTATCAGGATTTTTGGGTATTGGGGTATTGAGGTTTTGAGGATTTGGGGTATTGGGATATCGAGGTATTGAGACATTGGGATGTCAGGGTATTGGGATATCGGGATATTGGGATAAAGGGATTTTTGAATATCAGGATATTGGGATTTTTGAATATCAGGATATTGGGATTTGGGGGTTTTGGGATATCAGAATATTGGGATATTGGGACATTGAGATATTGAGACTTTGGGATATTGGGATGGTGGGATATTGAGACATTGGTATTTTGGGAATTTGGGATATCAGGGTGTTGGGATATTGAGGTATCAGGATATTGAGATATTGGAATACTGGGATATTGGGATATCAGGACATTGGGATTTTGGGAATTTGGGATATCAGGGTATTGGGACTTTAGGATATCAAAATATCAAGATATTGGAATACTGGGATATTGGGATATCAGGACATTGGTATTTTGGGAATTTGGGATATCAGGGTATTGGGATTTTAGGATGTCAAGATATCAAGATATTGGAATACTGTGATATTAGGATATAGGGATATTGGGATATCAGGATATTGGGATTTTGGGATATTGGAATTTGGTATATTGGAATTTGGGATATTGGGATATCGGGACATTGGGATATTGGAATTTGAGATATTGGGATATTGGAACATTGGGATATTGGAATTTGGGACATTGGAACACTGTGATATCAGGACATTGGGATATTGGGATTTTGGGATCGTTCCCTACCTGCCAGCAGGGCGAGGAGCAATGCTCCAGCCCCGGCGTCCTGCCCAGGGGAGGAAGCAGCTGCTTCCCACTGCCGAGGGGTATTTTTAACCCGAGATCCACGGGAGGGTTTGTCTGGGCTGCAAGTGAAGAACCACCTGGGCTCCTTTCCTGCCCGGCCCCGCAGCTGCTGCTTTTCCCTGCTCCACGCTCCGAGCTCAACTTCTCACCCAGGAATTTTTACCCGAAGCGCTCTGACCCCACATCCTCCCTCAAATCCTCCCCTTTGGGGCAGCACCGCTCCCTTCTCCCACCCCATGGCACGCCTCGCTCCTTCCCAAGCCCTGCTAACGCCGATATTTTTGTTTCCCACGGTTGTTTTCACAGCTCCAGTTGCTGTGGTATCCAGGGAGCCCTCCTCCTCCTCCTCCTCCTCCTCCTCCTCCTCCCGCTGCAGGAGCTGCACGCCGGGCGTTGCTAAGGTCGCCTCCGCGGTAACATGCACATCCTGTTTACACCTTCATCCCCACAACTTGGGCTCGGCTAGAGAAGCTTCCCCTTCCCGGGAAGCCCCCAGGGAAGGAGCCCCCCAACCCCTGCACACGGAGCATCCCCCAGGCCGGAGCCACCGGAGCCACCGGAGCCGCCGGAGCCGCGAGCGAGGCCGCCCCAGCGGCGCCGTGACAAGATGACGAACAACGTGGCCGACCACCACCCCGGGAACTCGGTGGCCGAGGGCAACCATGAGGGGGACTTTGGGTGCTCCATGGTGGAGCTCAGGAACCTCATGGAGCTGAGGAGCGCCGAGGCCGTGGCCCGGCTCAACGACTCCTATGGCGGCGTGCAGAACGTCTGCAAGAGGCTGAAGACGTCGCCGGTCGAAGGTGAGTGGGCCTGCTGTGGTGTCACCTCTGTCACCTCTGGAATGGAGCCGTGGGAAGGTGACATCTGAGGAATGTGGCTCCCAAGGTCTGGGGTTGTCACCTCTGGGGTTGTCACCTCTGGAATGGAGCCGTGGGAAGGTGATATCTGAGGGTGGTGGCTCCCAAGGTCTGGGGTTGTCGTCTCCAGGATGGAGCCATGTGAAGGTGACACCCGAGGGTGGTGGCTCCCATGGTCTGGGATTGTCACCTCTGGGGCTGTCACCTCCAGGGTGGAGCCATGTCAAGGTCACATCCAAGGGAAGTGGCTCCCCAGGTCTGGAGTTGTCACCTCTGGGGTTGTCACCTCTGGAATGGAGCTGTGTGAAGGTGACATCTGAGGAAGGTGGCTCCCGTGGTCTGGGGTTGTCATCTCTGGGGTTGTCCTATCTGGAATGGAGCCATGTGAAGGTGACACCCGAGGGTGGTGGCTCCCAGGGTCTGGAGCTGTCACCTCTGGGGTTGTCACCTCCAGGGTGGAGCCATGGGAAGGTGGCATCTAAGGGTGGTGGCTCCCATGATCCGGGGTTGTCACCTCTGGTGTTGTCCCATCTGGAATGGAGCCATGTGAAGGTGACACCCGAGGGTGGTGGCTCCCGTGGCTGTCACGTCGTTGGGGTTGTCACTTTTGGGATGGAGTCACAGCAAGGTGACACTGGAAGGTGCTGTCTCCAGTGGCTGTCCCATGGTTTGGGATTGTCACCTCTGGGATGGAGCCGTGTGAAGGTGACACCCGAGGGTGGTGGCTGCAGTGGCCATCCCATGGTCTGGGGTTGAGGGTGGCACTGGGGGTGGCACTGGGGGTGGCACCGGGCACAGCCCTGGAGCCTCCCCTGGCAGTGAGGGGCTCCGAGGGTTTTCCTGGAGCTGTGGGGTGGGGGCTCAGCCCTGTGGGGTGGGGGCTCAGCCCTGTGGGGTGGGGGCTCCGCCGGGACAATCTGTGGGATATTTTTAGTGCCGCGGGGGGCGGGTTTGGAGCTTTCCAGCTGCGAACGGGACCGGGAAGGAGAGACAATATCGGGATGTCGTTAGAGAAGGGGGGAAATCCCGGTGGAAATACAAATCCCAGGTCACAAAACAATGTGCTGGGCCCTGCCAAAGTGGGATCACGCTGCTTTGGGGTGGGAGGAGAGGCGGGAGGAGAACCCAAAAGAGCTTTTTTAGGGGTTCAGCCCCACCCCAAAGCTGGATCTCGAGCTGTCCCATCCCATCCCAGAGAGCAAAGAAAGATTCTCTCCTCCAAGCTGGGATTTTTGGGAAGAGCAAACTCCCACACCCTGTGTGATCCCACTGATCCGGGCTGCACATCCCAGCTCCGTGTCCCTGCCCCCAGATATTTGTCCCCATCCCCGTTGTCATTGTCCCGCTGGGGTGGCACAGGGCCTTGTCCTCCTGTGTGTCACCAGGGCCAGCGTGGGGTGTCCTGCCAGCAGCCCTGTCCCCCTGTGGGATCCCTGGCCTGGAGTGCTTTGATGCCACCTGGATCCCTCGGTGCCACAGGACTGGCTGTCCCCTCTGCAGCCTGGCACTGTCCTGGTGGGCAAACACTGCCCACGGTCCCCCAGAGCCTGCCTTGGGTGGCCCTTGGGGTCCCCAGGGTCACTTTGGGGTCCCCAGTGTCATTTTGGTGTCCCCAGGGTCACTTTGGGGTCCCCAGGGTCACTTTGGGGTGTCCCCAGTGTCACTTTGGGGTCCCCAGTGTCATTTTGGTGTCCCCAGGGTCACTTTGGGGTCTGCTGCTTCTGGCGGCTCCAGCTGTGCCCCAGGAGGTGCCAGCAGACCCCAAACCTCGGGGCTGCTCCCCACGTGGCTTTGGGGGGGTGTGGGGTGTCCCACAGCCAGGTGCTGGCTCTGTACCCCCTGCTGTCCCCAGGCAGTGTCACCCTGGGTGCCCTGTGCCAGCACAGCCACCCTGAGTCACCCGGGGCTGCCACCTCTGTCCTGATCCGGGCTCAGGATCCTGCAGGGTGGCTCCTTGTGCCACCCCACACCCCAGATCCGGGACTGGTGACAGCTCCCTGCTGTCACCTCTGGCCTCCTCCCAAAATTTCTCCCCCCATTCCCCCTGCTAGTCCTGACCCCGGAGCCTGCGGTGGCATTTGGGTGGCACGGGCCCTTTGTCACCCTCCCGGTGCCAGCACAGAGCCATCGAACCCCCCCCAATTCCCCAGGGAGGGTGGGGGACAGCCCTGGGGTCATTCCCGTGAGTGGGATCCGTGGCTGCCGTGTGCTGTGGGACTGTCCTGTGTCCCCACGTGTGTCCCCACGTGTGTCCCCACGTGTGTCCCCAGCTCCGTGGCCGTGAGCTGCATTTTCCATCCGCTGGGTGGGAACCGAGGCTGGGACATCCCAGGATCCTGCTCAGGGCTGGGTGGGGACACCCCGGCAGGGCTGGGTGGGGACAGCCCGGCTGCTCCGGCTGCCAGCTGTCCCCTCCCTGCAGCTGGGCTGGAGTCACAGCGGGAGCTGGGAATGGCATCGATGCTTCTTCCTGCTTGGAGTGACACGGGGCTGGCAGGGAGTGTCCCCAGAGTGACAGGGAAGTGTCCCCAAAGTGACACGGGGCTGGCAGGGGAGGTGTCCCCAAAGTGACATGGGGCTGGCACAGAGGATGTCCCCAGAGTGACACGGGGCTGGCAGGGGGGGGGGTCCCCAGAGTGACAGGGAGGTGTCCCCAAAGTGACACGGGGCTGGCAGGGGAGGTGTCTCCAAAGTGACACGGGGCTGGCACAGAGGATGTCCCCGGAGTGACACGGGGCTGGCAGGAGGGGGGGTCCCCAGAGTGACAGGGAGGTGTCCCCAGACACGGGGCTGGCAGGGGAGGTGTCCCCAAAGTGTCAGGGAGTGACACGGAGCTGTCCCTTGAACCCGAGGCCGGGTCCCCCCCCGTCACTGCCAGGCTGCTCCAGGCACCACCAGGAAGTGTCCGGGGCCATTCCCGGAGCATCCCGGGACCTGGCAGCGGCCCCAGGGACATCTTAAGGTGGAAAGGGATGGGGGGGGGTCCCTTTTGGGAGTAATGATTTTATTCCATTTTTTTCCTGTATTTATCCATGAAAAATCCTGGAGAAATTCTCCTTCATCAGTTCTGAGTGACAAATTCCTGGAGCTTGATTTGCTGTTGGTTATTGATCCCTGCTGTGCTGATTGGGGTTCTGTTATTGATCTTTTCCCACTTTTCTTCCTTTGGACAGAAACTTCAATTCCAAAAGACAAAAACCCCTTTAAATTAAAAAAAACCACCTTATGTATACACTAACTTAATTTAATTTGTTGATATTTTTATTTATATTTTATTTATATATACACCATTTATTTGTTTATAGTCATTATATTTTATTTATTTATGTTTTTAGCTAGTTATATTTTACTTATTTATATATCCTTTATTATGTCTTATTTATTTACCTGCTTTATTTATTGATTTATAATTTCTATTTTATTTATTTCTATTTTATTTATTTTTACCTTGGCTGCCTGCTGCCAGCACAGGCAGGGAGCTGCTCCTGGTTGAATTCCATGGGACCTGCAATGGGAATTCCCTCATCCCTGTTCTTCATCCCCCACTGAATTCTATGGTGCCAGCAGTGGGATTTAATCTTTCTGGGAATCCCATGGAATTCTATGGGGCCAGCAGTGGGATTTAATATTTCTGGGAATCCCATGGAATTCTATGGGGCCAGCAGTGAGATTTGATCTCGTCCCTTTCTGGGAACCCCACTGAACCATGGGGTCAGCAGTGGGATTTCCCTCATCCCTGTTCTCCATCCCTCACTGAATTCCCTGTGGTCAGCAGTGGGATTTGATCTCATCCCTGTTTGGGAACCCCACTGAATTCCAGGGGAATCCCAGCAGTGGGATTTGATCTCATCCCTGTTCCCATTCCCTCCAGGCCTGTCTGGGAACCCCACAGACCTGGAGAAGCGGCGCCAGGTGTTCGGGCAGAACTTCATCCCCCCCAAAAAGGCCAAGACGTTCCTGCAGCTGGTGTGGGAGGCGCTGCAGGACGTGACTCTGATCATCCTGGAGATCGCGGCCATCGTGTCCCTGGGGCTCTCCTTCTACCACCCCCCGGGCGGGGACAACGAGCGTGAGTCAGGGGACACGGGGACACGGGGCAGGGACACTGGCATGTGCCCTGTTCCCTGCTGGGGGACTCTGGGATCTGCCCCTTTCCCAATGGGAGCAGGGGTTTGGGATGGGACTCTGGGATCCACCCCATTCCCAGTGGGATGGGGACTCTGGGATGTGCCTTGTTCCCAGTGGGAGCAGGGGATTTGGGATGAGGACTCTGGGATCTGCCCCATTCTCAGTGGGATTTGGTTGTGGAAAGGAGCTTGTGGGGTTGTGGAAATGGGAATTCC